AGATGCAGGTTAAAATGAGGCTCCATGCATTCCACTGTGCCAATTACACAAGGTTTAAAGGTGCCGTTTTTAAGCTTGTGGTGTCATGCTGCTCAAATTAATACCTCCACAAGGTAACAATGTCACAGTATCTGGGGGAAAATGATTAATATCAAATATCAATTACATGGATGGCTACCCTGACATCCTGTGCAGAGGATACTGCCAGTCTTGTGCCCTAAGCTGCTTGGGATAGGATCCAAGCCTCCTCCCTCGAGCCTGACTAGGTCTGTGTCTCAATACCAAGGATGCAAAGGTCATATGTGGTCTTGGCAAGAGCCGTCTTGCTAACTTGCCTCCCAAGTACAAACCTGAGACACAATGAATCATGGGATTGGTCTCGTCTGCTGAGGATGCAACTGATGTATCCTTGATATCTGAGCTGGGGCAAGAAAAACATCTGAGGATTTTCACCGTCCTCTGTACTCCTTAGTACTGGCACTGGTCCTCGGCCACGGAAGATGCCGGAAAGCGGGTACATGGGAACACGGGTACGGTTAAGTGCACATGTTGGGAAACACCGTAGGATAAACAGATGGAAGATGGGTGAGTCATTGCTTCACTGAAGACATGCTTCTGGAGTCTGTACTCAGACCTGGGTGTCTCGTTTCACATAAAAGGGCCAAATCAAGCAAAACTCACATTCACAATCATTCAAGTTATTGTATCTTTGCTATTTTTGGCTATATTCACACATAACTGATTGACCGCTACACTTCCAAGCTGCAGAGCTGGGCGTAGGCGCACACCCTTTGTCAAAGTGCGATGGTCCTGAGGATGACGCTGCAAACTTCCTCTATCTTGGACCACAAACGGTGCTAGACCAGTCAAAAACCAATGGGAGATTGAAGAGTAACTAGCAAAACTGACCAAAGCAAGAAATTAATCAATCAACCCTTCTTCCATAACCACTTGCCAACTATAGGCCTGGTGCCCATCTAAAAACGCAAGGGGGGGGGGCAATATAGAGGAGAGTTTGGACAGAATAAGACAGATATATATATGCATGTATACACATGCAGGCTTTTGTTTACCAAAGGATTATGCACTTTCTGCATATCCAACCACAAAAATACTGTCATTTTAAGAGACTTACCCAACCAAGTAGGGATTTAACATTATTTTCTTTCAGTGTGACACATTTACCATCAAGAATAAGGCTGCTCCGTCTTAACAGTGTGGCTGGTTTGTGTCTTTATATGTCAGATGGGATTGGAAATAGGTATACTGTACTTGTTGCTGCATGCACTGTCATCTGGTGACAAACGATATTTACACCTTCTCTCAGTGTAGCACTGCTTCACTGCAGCCTGGGGTTGGGGGGGGGGCTGTCTGCGACCGAGGACGGGTGACAGTGAATATAGAGGAGAAAATGAGCTCCCCGCTGTGGAAATGTCCCGCCCACTGTGTCAGAAACGTCCCCACTGCAGAGCGCCACCAGTGCAGCTGGCCGTTTTATTTATTTATTTGTTTATTTCGGCGCACAGCTTGGCGTCCAGCTATTTTGGAGAAAAGGCTGCAGAGCGGCGTTCATTCATCTGCGGGCAGCGGCAGATAGTCCCCCCACCTGGACGCTCGCTCTCTCTCGACAGTGCCAGTCTGACCAAGTCGCCAGTTGGCAGGGATGCGCAAGGCTGCCTGTTTATTTCTCACTGTGATACTTTGGAGCTGCAGCGAATGCCCATGACACAACACGGGACAGTTAGGGCTGTTTTCACAAAGCTTTTTAAAGGCCCTGTTTATATCGAAGCAACATATTTCCAGCCACACATACATGCAGCCATCCATGAGGGATAAGGAAGGACGTTCACTCCACTGAGCAAGACCACAACAGCAGCTTAGTGTCACCTCAGGAACTCCAGTTGCCTGTATTTGCCCACATAAGGTGATCTGAGCTGTCAGGAGTAACATCTCACTCCTCTCTTCATCTCTGTTCACTTCCCCGTTCATCTTTCCCTTATTCCTCTTCATCTCTGTTCACTTCCCCGTTCATCTTTCCCTTATTCCTCTTAATCCCTGTTCACTTCCCCGTTCATCTTTCCCTTATTCCTCTTCATCCCTGTTCACTTCCCCGTTCATCTTTCCCTTATTCCTCTTCATCTCTGTTCACTTCCCCGTTCATCTTTCCCTTATTCCTCTTAATCTCTCATGTGACACATACAAGGCCCTGTGCAGGTCAATATCACTGTTGTGTCTCTACAAGCAGCACATCTTATGGGAAGCAAGTGCAGGGGTCGTGGGATATAGGTGGACGGGGAGACGCAACCCCCCAGTATTGGCAGAAATCCCCATCCTATCACTCTTACTCCTCAGTTAAAATCACATTTCGTTCTCCGTGAAGCTTCAGTCTGACATACATCCTCAACAGCTTTCACCATGTCAAATTAAGAGCTCATTCCTTATCTTTCATTATGTTCCTGAGGCCAATTTGCTGCACATGCCGACTGCGAGAACAATACTTAACGATGTAATAATATATCGACAAAATCATTTTATGATATGGATCAGTTATTTTTATTAGTTATGTTTAGTTGTGAAACTTTACCCTAAACAGTGTTAGTTTCATGTTAAATGAAGACTTTATTATTTAATTTTTAATTTTAATCTTCTGTACATCACATCCTTTCACAGTGTGATTATTGCATGTCACAATTTACATCGCACCCACCCCCCCAGGGGGTAAATTCACCCCCGCCCCCGCAATGTCAAATTCCTTCTGCGGCCACTGGGCCACTGTGAGCGCAACTTTTGAAAGCACGGACATCTGATCAAGGGATGCAGAATTTTATCAGTTGGTTTTAGTATCTAGGCAACATACATTCAGAGCAGAAATGTGAAACTGCGTGCTTCACCTTTAGGGAGGGGGAGGAACTCCTGGCATGCAAAGATAGAACAGAAACAAAGAAGTGTGTCATAGCAGCGTATTTCATTCTATGAGTAATGGATAGGAACAGTTGCTAATGTTGTGTTAGAGTGTAGTCATAGACCTGGCAAATATTGTGCCAGAGATAAGCTTCTGTGTACTTACTGTCAGCTTGGATGAAAGCTTCTCCTTAGTAAAATGAAATCAGCACGGCTCACATAATCACAGGATGTCAACTCTTTCCAAAGATGTCTCAATGTGGCTGCCTTCTCATGCAGCTGGTTCATGTGCAGACTGTGATGCTATTACCGGACTCTCAGTACCGGCAGAAGAAATTCATTTTTATTTTCTAAAACTTTCTAGGATCCAATAAAAAAATGACTGCAGTACTTAAGAAAGGTAACCAGTGTACAATAAACAATGATACGACGAAGAAGATGAGAAGGATGTGCCACCTGCTTTGTCGAACCTCTGGAGCTGTCACCTTCAGTAGTTACCGGTAAGGTTGACACAGGCATGGAATTTGAACCTCAGAGCCAAAAGCGGAAAGGCCCTTGCAGGCGGGCCAGAGCAGTGACACCGAAAGCTCTGCAGCATTCCAATGAAAGTCCGCCCAGATAATTGAGTCACAGAATATATGAGATTGCGAGAACTGAAGCAGAAATGAAGCAAATTAAATATGGAACAGGCCGTTTCACGAGGCAATTTTTCCCGGATCTCTCTTATATGTATTAACAATATTCTCCTAGGTATCCACTTCCCCAAGATCTAAAGATATTTTAGCAACTCATCATAAACTGTATGCCTTAATACCAAGATAATCTTTGGAATTTTAATTTTGCGTTATCATAAATGAATCATTATACTAATTTAATCACTGTCATTAGCATCTTTCAGGAAATTGCACTTTGATCTAGTCTTCCATTTGTTTGTTTTCAATATTATAATCCCAGCTGTTAACTGTTTGTGGACTGGAAGGACATTACTGGTGTATGAGAACACACTCCTCTGCTCAGCATGTCCATATACTGCAATTATGTCTTCAAGTTTCATATCCCTTGTCTAGGACTTGGTCTTGGTATCTGAAATCCAATAATTATTTAACCCTAAATGCTGCAATTACCATAACTTTGTTCTTTAATATGCTTTGGGTTCAGTAGCCCTCAGAAACACAATATGACACATAATAAGATTTAAGTAAAAGATGCAAAAGAGGGAAATGAGTGTGACGCACTGAAGAAATGTGCTGCTTGATTGCACCTTTGTATGTCAACAGCAAAACATGTGTAATATAAAGAGTCTTAGGTCACTCTGGGTAACCTTATATTGAAAACCACTGTGGAAAAATTGACTTAGATCAGTGTTCCCCAATCAGTCCGGAAAGGAACACATCAACTAAACCTGGTCGTTAGCTGAGATATAAGAAACACATAAGATGTGTTTAAGCAGGGAAATCTGCAAGCTGTGTTGCAGACTGACCCTCCAGGACCGGAATTGGTAACAGCACGCGTTAAGCCACAGTGAAGAACAACTCCAGGACCGGAATTGGGGAACCTTGACTTAAATGTTCATGTCTGACTTGGTGATGCGTCTAGGTTCTCATTACATCAAAATTAACACTCATGCAAATGCAATTATTCCCCTTCCCGGGTCAGTCCCTAATGGGTCCAGCCATTTGATGGGTCAACATCCTCTACATCATTCACCTACAGCAACAGGCCTCTTCAAGAATACCTTGAAGGCTGTTCTGGTCGGCAGGATTCCTGTCTTCTGATACTGTAGCAACCTGCCTCAATACGAAACTACTCTAACAAGCCCACAGGGGACTCCTCTGAGCGTGATGTGAATGGTGTAGACACAGAATCGCATAAACTGAAGACTCATCAGGGGGTACTGTGGGAGGACAGCTGGGTTCCTCTGACCTCGCCTTCACTTTTTTGAGTGACAATGCATAGGACATTGGACAGTAAATGAATGAAGGCGTTTTGGTGTAGTGCTTGAAGTGACTGAATTTATTAATACTGTACTTATGCCCAGATATTTCTTGTCTGCTCAAAAGAGCCCAGTGTTTATCCACGGGGGATAATTTATTGCTCATCTTGGCTTCTAGACTCTTTCTATCCCTGTCAATCTGCTGCTATTCTAGAAGCGTGTCTGAATAATAAGGGGTTGACGACGAGAGGGATTAATACCACGAGGAGAAGCGGGGGCCTTCTTAAAAGATGGGTGGGACAGACCCTGCTGATTCCACTTATGAGGTCTGGAGTACCAGACACTAAGATCTCTCCAACCTCTCTAACCTCCATCTTCAGCTATTGAGTGAAATGACTTTTAGTCTCTGAAAATGAGCCTGGCTGAACAACAGCTGAACACAGGTCCTGCTCCAAATCATAGTAGGATTCTGACCTTGGATTAAGGGTCATTTTATCGATTTTACCCGTTGTATTTCATTGAAAGCAATAACAGCAAAAATCCTTGAGCTCTTCATCATATTCTGACCTCACTGAGATAAGAATACATTGATTTTAGGATACAAATTGTACGTCAAGTTGTGCTCTCTTGTTTTCCTCAATCAGTTGCTGAGGTCCAAGGTACAAGTATCACTGAAAAAAAAGGTTAAGTAAGTCATTATGACTTATAGAACAGAACCACGAAGCATCACTTTTCCTGGTGTTTTGACATGGCTGAAAAAAAGCCACAAAAGTGTTATTTCAAAATGGAGCTATATTGAACCTATACATCTGCTATCCATTCTGCCTAGGATTATGCCCTTCTGGGCTTCATCTTGTTTGGGTTGTATTAGAGGGCTGGAACCACGATCAAACACCAGTCTATCATGGGCATCTTAAACAAACTAGCAGACCCTGTAGCTGTATACCTACTGAGCCTCCATTCTAAATATTTGTATTTCACCAGAATTTGTAACAGCAGCTGTGACCATTGGCAGAATCCACTGCATGTGGGCTTCAACAGGCCAAGTGCAGTAAATGAACGGTTTGTTTCCCACACTGTGTGTGACGTTTGCAGCCTTGTTCCAGTATTCATCATGTGTCTTAACAAACGATACAGGCTTTTGCTTTGGGGTCATCTCTAAATATATCCTCCTTAAAGTCTCTCAACACTTGTCTGACCCCAGAAAAGATTAATTCACTTGTTGTGCTGCCTTTGGGAAGACACTGTTATTTTCTGATAATGACCCCCGCCCCCCATAACTCACATCGCTCTTCATTTGTTTGCATTAATGTGCTAAACTGTTTGAACTTAACTTGCGTGTCTTCGCTCTGTATGTCATCCTAGATAAAAACGACAGCAATATAAGCAATACAATTATTTTGTATTCGAGAGAAAGCTAAGACGACCAGTATTTTAGGGCGCGCGTTAAGCCACAGATAAGATGACAGCGACATCATGTGTTTGCAAGTGGAACGCAACACGGCCTCAAGTATACTTGTAACTAACGTGTAACTTATCGAATTTCACTATCAATTTGATATGAGGAAATACCCAAACCTAGTACTTGAGGAATAAATAAAATATGCAAAGCTAAAGAAAAATACATTAAAAATTCAATTGTGGTAGATTGAGAGACTTTTGCCCGTTTTATACATGTATGTGTAATATATACACGTATACGTGCACATGTAAGACTGAAATTTTGACTAAAATGTCCTGGAAACCACAATAATTTTAGCTTCAATAAAATAACATATAGCCTATCAGTATAATTCGTAGAATTTGGTACATGAAGATGGAGTTTTGATTTACTGGGGAAAAAAGATCTTATTTTTAAGACTAATAGAACGTTTTCCTCGTAGACACAGATCCAACATTAACTCAACTTATTACGAATATTTACCCGTGCACAACATTTGTATAGCACCGTCTGGCAGGAAATCGTGGAATCAGCTTATTCCAAACGGCAGGTGACATGCAGTATAAAAAGCCGCGAAACGGAGCACTTGGTCTTTTCTGTCCCTGTCGTCTATCGGGTTGAGAACAGGAGGGTGACTGCGATTATGCAGGTATGTATAATATAGGGTATATCGGTTATTAGCACTGAAAGTCTGGATTAACACTCAAAATCAGTTTTATATGACGATTAAACTACCTTAGGATTCCTAGTTTTACGTTTGAGGGACTTTAACTCGTGAATCGTGTACTGGGCTTAACGTCTGGCCGTCTCTTTTGCTTCTGTGTGCACGGCGTTTTTATTTCATCAGGCTCCAGTATGAATGATTGGCCGTTTAAGGTGTGTGTGAGTGAGAGAAATATAACCTTTATGCCACTCGGATCTGCACGCGGCAGTGCCTGCGATTCCGGTGGCACGTGGTCGATGCATCGCCGATGCAGTAGCTGCACATCTCCATTCAGATGTATTCAGAGACGCTCATTAAAACGCTGATTACTTAAGGCAATAATCATATCACTACGTTCCTGTTCACTGTACTGGGTAATCAATATGGAAAATGTATTTCCCCCCCGTTCTGTACCTTGCGTTTATTCACTGCTGAATTGAGTTGAAAATATCTTTATACCATTTCCTATCGGGGTTCTGTGTGTGGTGTATGAATTATTGGGTAAAATTTCTTGATAAAGTTACCATTAATACTGCCTAATTTTCGTAAGTAATTGTACCTTACTGGAATTAAATTGTGGATGTATTTAGTACAAACTCTGGCGTCGCAAAGTTTTATATTGCGCTATAGGATTTTAATCACTTTCTTGGCATACAGCCGTGGCCAAAAATTGAGAACGACACAAATTAGTTTTTACAAAGTCTACTGCCTCAGTTTTTGTGATGGCAATCTGCCTGTAGTCCAGAATGTTGTGCAGATGTATCAGGTGAAGTGCAACTAATTGCAAAGTTCCCCTCTGCCATAAAAATGAACTTAATCCGACAAAAAGCCCCATTTCCACTGCATTTCAGCCCTGCCACCAAAGGACCTGCTGACGTCATTTCAGTGATTTTCTTGCTAACGCGGGTGGTAATGTTGACTAGGACAAGGCTGTAGATTACTCACACGCTGACCGAGTTAGAATAGCAGACTGGATGCTTTTAAAAGGAGGGTGGTGCTTAAAATTATTGAAGTTATTGTTAACCATAGTTACCTGCAAGGAATATAGCCACAACTAAAGAGTGATACCAGAACATCAACAGCAACTTCTGTCAACCATTCAAGAACAGTGGTGGTGATCAATGCTTTTTCCAGCATGATAGTGTCCTGCCATAAGGCACAATTGATATCGAAGTGGCTCAGGGAACTAAACACTGACATTTGACCCTCGGGGACAATTTTTTTAATTTTGGGTCCATGGCTAAAACTCCTCAGACCTTAATCCCATTCACAATCAATCTTCTAGAGGCAGGTGGACAAACTCAAATTCTGACACTCCAAGCATTGATTATGCAAGAGTGGGCTGCCATCAGTCAGGATCTGGCCCAGAAGTTGATTGACAGCATGCCAGGGCAAATTAGAGGTCTTGAAGAAGGGCCAACACTGCAAATATTATAGCCTTTGACACTTATGAAATACTTGTAATTAAACTTTAATATACTATAGAATCATCTTGACAAAGATCTACAAAGCTGAAGCAGCAAACTTTGTGGAAATCAATACTTGTCATTCTCAACTTTTGGCCACGACTAATATCCAGAAATATTGCATAACGTTATTGTAGCATTTCTGTATTAAAGGGGCTGTATATTTCCACTGTAATGGAAAGAATGTTAAGCTTACAGTGGCCTAAACATAGATAAATGTTGAATGTCTTTCGATATGGCAAATGTATAGTACTTTTTCTGCCTACAGAAAATGAAGAATTTACTAGCTTTAAAGTTGAAACTTCTCATTGCTTTCATTAAAAATGCTGTGGATTCTCTAATGGTGATGTCTGTGGCCACCATGTCTAGATCAGGGGTCTCCAACTCCAGTCCTGGAGAGCTACTGTCCAGTAGGTTTCTATCCTACCTGGCTTCTGATGAGCCACACCTGTTCTCGGGTAAATTCCTGGAACAGGTGTGGCTCATCAGAAGCCAAGTGGGACAGAAAACCTACTGGATAGTAGCTCTTCAGGACCGGAGTTCGAGACCCCTGGTCTAGATACTACATTGAAATGGCCTAACTTGGTGTTGATCTGAATACTCTTGGCGCAACCGATCTTATCCTAAGATTGTATAAATCTCTCAACTGCATATCTTGGTCGGGGATTAGTGGAATGAAGCCTCCATGATCATATCGAAACCAGAGTTGGACATAATGATAGTGGTAACTTGGATAATCGAAATTAAGATTTGTTTCTGTACAGCAATTGTATGATCCATCTCCCAATGAACTGATGAATGGACAATAATCAGCCAGGATGGCTTATGCATTTTGATCTTTCTTTTCCAGTGCATCACACTGGATAGATGAAGACGATGGAAAATGGGTGAGTTTTGAATGGGCTTGGAAACCCAAATGACACTAGTGCCTAAATTAGGATGCTTTTTTTGGTTGAACACAAGTACTTCAAGAGCTTTAGGTAGCCTGCTTTCTGGAGGGGGAAATCTAACCCAGCGACAGGTTACATACTGGTTGCTTTAATGATGAATATATCCCGAACCTGATTTCATGTGACTGAAAGTCATATATTCGGATCTGACTTCTGAAATGCAACCTTTAATCTTGGGTTTTAAGTGTTGATGCCATTAGTAGACCTGTATGTGCTAACGAATGGACATCTTTGCAGAATGAACGGCAAAGCTGAATCTTCAGGACTGCAGCTGGTGGAAGGTTCCGGTTAAAGTCTGAAACGCTGGTAATGAGCAGAGCTGGAAGTGTTAACTGAGCAATAAAATTCTTTAACTCAAGTGTGTGGAGGGTTTTTTTTTGTAGCAACATGTTTGTTATTTAACCTGCTGAGCCACTAGTCATCTGCACCTGTGATCGGAAGGTTGACTTCTGCCAGGACTGGGGCTCAAACCAGCACATGTCTGTGAGCCCTTCGAGGCCCTTAACCCCCAGCTGCAGGGACCCTACACACTGGATGATACACCCCCAGCTCCCCAAGCTATGGAGAGCATGACTGGGTCACTCATGAGAATTGCAAATGGAAAATAATGGGTTTCTCTTTATCCTGTGTCTCTACAAACATTGGCCCTCAACCCTACTGTGAGCGTAGTGCCTGCTCTGGGAGATGGCTGGCTTTGTGGTCATGCAGGTGAAGGCTCTTGGTTATTTTACCTGCAAGTTATTACAGCTGAACACTTTCAAATATATTGATTCTCAGTCAAGGCACAAGAATGGCTTCTGACCCACAGATTACAGCCCAGCTGTTGCATATCTGCCAGTTATTCTTTGTAATCAAGTCTGATACTGAAGACAATCTTGTTTGACTGATGCCTTGTCCACACGTATATGAGTATATTTTGAAACACCTTAATCTATATGCCTTGGGCTTTTGTCCACACGTAAACGGCATCTCGGGTCACTGAAAACAGAGCTTTTGCAAAACTCCATCTAGGGTGAAGATTTTAAGAAACTCCGTTTTCAGCGTCGACGTACACAGGGAAAAGAGTTTTTTGGCTCGAAACGTCAGATTATGTGCCGTTGTCCACTTTGTTTAACGTCAGAGTGTGCGCTGTTTGCTGCATAAATTAGGCGAGTTTGAGCAATGGCGGACTTAGCCGAAACAGTGCTTGTGCTAATCTTGCTGACAGGACTTCTTACACGTGTACAGATAAATGTTGAGTCGCTCTCGCATTATATTGCTCAACACAGGTGTCGGAATGTGCACCATGGTTTTCAATTTAACAGAAGTGGCAATTGGGCTTCTGCCGCCTGTTTTGCCATTTTAGTGGTTTCGCGTGGATAGAAATTTTTTTGAAGACAATGTCACACCCAGCTCCGTCCGATCCTCGTGTGTGCCACGCCCACCTCATTACCTCCTGTTTCTGCCTGATTGTTCTCACCTGTTGCTCGTTACCCTCAGCTTGTCTTGTGTATTTAGTCCACGTCTCGGTTAGTTTTCCCCAGACTTGTCATTGACGTTTGTAGATGTGCTTCCCCCGGTCCTGTCTTCGGAATAAAACCCCATTTCGTTGACTTCCTGACTTGGCTTGTCTTCTTCCCCGTTCACCTGCAGCACTTTACGTGGCAATGTTCGTGTGTACAGGGATTTTTTTTTTAACACAGGAAAAACACCATTTTAAAATTTATGTTTGTACATGTGGGCAAGGCATGAATGTCAGTATTTCAATATGACCAAATGCAAAGTCTACAGCAGGAGAATTTAAAAGTGCAAGTTAGCCTCCCTTGAGAAAGCTGGGGCTCATCCATTTGTAGTCATAATTCCAAGCAAACCTTTTAATTATTGAGCAGTCTTGCATTATGCTAAGAATGTTTGCATTATGTCCTGTATGACCCTGTTATCCTGCTCCGTTTCCATTGGCCTGGGCGGGTTTTAAAGTGTGATTTCCATATTTCCTCATTTTGTAAGCTTTATTGGCTTTTTAGGATATTTGTCCATGTCTGTTTTTGGGGTGACTAACATGACTTGACCTGTGGTTTTTTGTAGCGTGAACAGTAACAGCTGTAGGAAATATTCAGTTTATTTTTATATCGTGCCTTTTACAACAAAGTCGCTTTACATGGGTGTGTTGTGATAAGTTACATCATTAAGAGAATGATTTAAAAACAAGGAGAATTAAGAAGAGAGAGAAAGCCAGATGACAATGGAAGAGAGAAACCAAGAACTCCCAAGCAGGGGGGAGTAAAAAATATCCTGGGGTCCAAGTTCAAATGGCTACCCAGCATCCCCCCCCCCACCAAGCAAGCTAACATTATAGGAAAAAAAAAGAGTGGGCTTGCTTGCTAAAAGCTAGTGTGGTCAATGTCAAAGCCAAAGTCCATCGATGAGTCAGTCCACCACACTGGCTTGTGTAGGGTGCAGATGGGAAAACTGCACCCACAATGTCACAGTTTGTAGGTCACATCCATGATGTCACCCTTCCACGGGACTGAAATGAGCCTTATAATCCTTGGCTATGGCCTGGTATACTCTCGTGTCCTCTGTGAATCTTTGCTATGTGTGTGGGGGAGAAAGACTTGGACAGCTGTGAAGGGTCATCAGTATTCCACAGATGTTAAAGCATCACTTTGCAGCTTGCTGATTCCAAGCGTGCGTCTTCGACCTCAGAAGGTCAACTTTGTTGCCTTATTTCATGACTTTTTACAAATCAGGGGTGAGTTTCCCGAAGCCTTCTTAACGATACGTCGTTCGTTAGTTCTATCTTTTAACACAGAACTTAAGAACGACGTAGCGTTAAGAACGCTTCGGGAAACTCACCCCAGATTATTATCTGAGGTGTTGGATAGGGTGACAGAACCACTGTACGCACCTTAAAGGAGGGGTCTTTAAATCTGCCCCTCGATTCCAAATCCAGGCCTTGTTTTCAGTTTTCCCAGGGAGTTAGTTTAATAATTACTGATTCTGATTGGCCGGAAGCTACACATGAGGCTTACAGATAAAGGACGGCAGGAAAATCAGCAGCACTTGGACCTTGAGGACTGTGATTTGAACAGCCCAGCCTTACAGCGTCAGACTAAACTGAAGTGTTTTCTTTACTCGAAGCAGGTGAGTGCCATCAAAACTTTGCTCTGTGATTGGTTAACTTGATACCCAATGCACAGTTCAGTATACTTACTATGCGGTTCATTTCTGTGCACTGATTCAAATGTGACTTTTATTTTGCTAAATGATGTAATCATAAAAATGCTGGGTCTGATTTTCATCAATTCATTTTCCAGTTGTCAATCCAGTATAGGGTCATCTGGGGGAATATTTATTTATTTATATTTTATTTAACCTTTATTTAACCAGGTTTGTCCCATTGAGATCACAGATCTCTTTTTCAAGGGAGACCTGGCCAAAGTATTAAGTTGTGCAGACGGAGTTCAGCTTGAAGTCTGTTCCATGTGTAAGGGATGGAATGCATATTGCATGGAATGCTACTCCATCATTTATGGTCAGTGTAGAAACGCAATATCACGTAAAAGCGTGGCTCAGCAGGGGAGGATGTTGTGCCACTGATTGGAAAGATGCCAGTTCTGGATCAGCAGAGTGGTTTCAGTGTCTGGTCCTTGAGAAAAGGACCCCCCCCCCCCAGTCAATCAAAGAGCTGTATGATGCTGCTCTCTTATAATGTATGTAGCTTTCAGTAAGAGTCTGCTAAAAAATGTAGTAATAGAATGCAAACTCCATACATGAATTTTAATTTCTAATTATGAATGAATGTTACATTCATGTAGCGCTTTTCAAGACACCCAAAGCAATTTACAGAACCAATGGGGAGCCACTTCAATCACCACCACTGTGTAGCCCCCACCTGGATGATGCGACGGCAGCCATTCAGCACCAGTACGCTCACCACACAGTAGCTAAGGTGAAGGGACAGGAGAGAATTCACCAGTTAGATACTGGGGAGGATTAGGAGGCCAGATTTGAAAGGGCCACAGTGGGCAGTTTAGCCAGGACATCGGGGTACCACCCTTACACTTTCAGAAGATGCCCAGGGACCTTTTATGACCTCAGACTCAGGACCACAGTTTCACATCTCATCCGAAGTATGGATTTTGTATTTTAAAACGTGGAGCCCTATGGATCAATTATTGTTATTACAGAAAATGTATTTTGAGGCATAGTTTAAAATTACACTTGGGGAGAACGCTATAAAATCATGAGTAGGAGTTATAATGAACAAAAAAAGGAGTTAGTACAACAAAAATACCACGAAACTATGTCAGCTAAAAACATGTCAGATGTCAAACAAGTCTATGTCAGAAAAAAACAAGAACTACAGCAGGAATGCTGTCATGTAACACCGCAATGTTTTGGTTTTAAAAGTGATATATCCCTTTTGCTGGGAATACGCACTCTCTCCTTGTCGGCGTCGCTCCAGTGTTACCAGGCGTACAGTATCTTAAGACCGTTTACATTAAAGTTACAATACTTAGGTAAACTATTTCATACTTCGGCTGGTGAAATAAAGGAACTGAATGAAATACGACAAATAAAACCATTATGGACGCGTTAACGCTGCAAGGATTATTAGTCATTATAGTCACGTGCGTGCATTTTCATTTTCCTACGTTCATAATTATGGATAAGGAACAGAGAGTAAACCGTGACTGCATCCAACGTAAAGCACGACATTTTCGTACAAAGCGGCTGCCACTACTTTAAAACGGACGCGCCTCCAAACTTCGCCCCAGTTCCCCGGCCGATGCCTTTGTTCTGGGCCTGGCGATACGGGCGACCACGCCCACCTGCGGCTAGCGCCGCCCCCGCCGTCGCGGCCACGCCCCTGACGCTCGCTGGCGCTCGGAGCGCGCCGCCGATTGTGCTGCGAAAGGAGGCGAGCCCGTGTGCTCCTCCGCGAGAAACCCCGTAGTCGTGAGAAACTCTCGGCGTGATCGCGGCCGCCATTTTACATCATCTACAGTGGAGGAGCAGAGCCGGACCTACGGCGGGGAGTTATACACCTTTCTCCGTTTTTTTTCCAAATTCCCTTCCTTCCGAAATAATCTATACCACATACCACCGCGAACCATTAGCAGGTAAATATGTCCTAAATTGCCATCTAGCTAGGCTTCTTTCCGTAGCGCTATGGTTGTTGTTCTAGTAGTGCTTTTAAACAATGTGGAAACTGGTTTGGATGGTGTTTCAAACCGGCTTTTTGAAAATGGACTCCAGTTATGTGGCGGCACGTTGGCCAACTAGGCCTTGTGAAATGCCCAGTCGGGTCTGCAATACAGCGTGCTTAAATCGTGCTCTCCGATCCCGTCTTGGCAATCCTTTCCAGCGTTACGTACGTTTACACTCAGCCTTGAATATTCAGCATTTGCAGCACCTTTCCAGACAGTCAGCCACCGGGGACAGGGCTGCGATAGGGGCACGTTTCATTCAAAACCAGGCCAGATGAGTCTAGGATCGCCTATCTTCCTAGACACGATTTTCCAGCGCGGTGACATGTGCTGCACGCATGTCATTGTTTTTATTGTCGTTTCGCTGCCGTATGCTGGGCTTATGTTAGCTGGCCGCGAAGCCAGCGCCTTATTTGGTGCCTACAATAAATCGGACGTTACAGTCAGCTTAGCTGGGCTACGTGAACAAATGATCGGGAGGCTGTGTGGTTTGGCTAACATCAGCACGCAGAGGGGCTAGCCCAGCTAGCCTAGCATCCTCCTTATTAAATAGCCAGGCCGTTATTTCTGATTGTATGCCATTTAATACGCCTCAGAGTGTAGCATGTGTCCCGCGGAGGAGCTTTTGGGTGTCTGGGTGCCCCGCACGCCGTACCCGCCCAGCGGCGTTAGCCACCAGGCTAGATGCTTGCCGGAAACCGCTGTACAGAAACACGTGTACGGAGCGCGGCGGCGCTGGCGGATGGGTGGGGGTGTCGGCTTTGTTCGGCGGCGCCGCCGCTCGCACCTCATCGGCAGCCGAAGCACAAGGCGGGAAGCATGTCTAATGGTGGCTCGCCGTCCCACCTTCATGCACAAGTAGTCGGCTTAGTTCCCTTAAAGTGGTTAACGTGTCCGAACCGTGCACGAGCAATCGGGGCTGTGCACGTACCCGATTCAACTCGCTTCAAAACTTGGCGCGGCGGCTCTTGCGTTTATCGCAGTTATTGCCTGGACAAGCTACTTGTTTGACGTGTTCAGCATTATTTAGTGCCGATCATTACAGCTGGTTAAACCTCATCCACCGTTTAACGCTTGCAGTGGCCGACGTTAGCGATGCGGCCGCCATGTGCATGCTTCTGCAGCGCGGCTGTAAAATAACCTCAATTATTTACTGATCCCGTTATTTTCGTAACTCTTTAACCCTGACTCAGTTTTTGGATTAATTTGGCTCATTGCATTTGCACAGATGTCTGGAGACATGGCCACAGAACATGTTAATGGAAATGGTACTGAAGAACCAATGGACACCAGTGCTGCAGTTACCCATTCTGAACACTTCCAGACTTTATTAGACGCTGGTTTACCACAGAAAGTTGCTGAAAAACTAGACGAAATTTACATAGCAGGTAAGGAACACTAAGCATCCAAAAGATTTTCTCCACACAGATTTCATTTTGCAGTTTTTTGCATGTCCTTTACAATCAGCATTTCTATTGACTGTGGGATTTGTGATCCATAAGCAACTTTTTGTGGTTTCCATACAAATGGGTACTGCAGTTGTAAAATTAAAAGGAAAAAATCAACCACACCCCCAGTATTACGGTACTTAACGATTTGAATGTATTTATGTCTCTTTCAGAGCGATTTGAAGCAGGCGGCGTTTTTTGTATGTATGCTTTCGGGGATTAATGTGGCATAAGCATACAGTAGCCCGGGGCTGGGGGGCAGGGTGG